CGAGGTACGTGCGCAAGCGTCTCGTACCTGCATGGCTAGACATGCTTGTACTAGGTGGGCGACACGCTTTTGCACCTCGCAGTGCGCCACGGCGAGCGCAAGGTGTTGGATGCTCTTCATCGGACACCCGGCATCACCCTTGACTCTCGCAACTCGGTATCCGGGACGACAAAACTAGATATGACGTCATTCATGTGCCCAGTGCCTCAACGATTGGACAAACCCCTTGAGGTTGGCCAAAGTGCGTGGCATGTTTGCCCACAATACGAAGAAACGCTCGAATCTTTTTCGTTTTTAGCGAGGTGGCACGCGCACTACTCGCTTCCCTTTGGGTCATAAGGGTTAGGTGGTGTGGCGGCATGTGCAGTTCAAATGTAGGTATGCGGAATTGGTATGCGGCATGCAAGGAATCTCATTTGTCAACGAGACCTCAACACGACGTGACGCTTGGTCCGCCCGCGAGGGATGTTGCTGTGAGCAAGGATACATGTATACGCCCTTGGAATTTACCTGCAATGACCAAACGAGTCAAACGCGATTGTTTAAAACATCCAATGAAACAAACAACGGCAAACTCAAATGATATATCACCCTCCCAAAACAAATGCGTTATCTCTCAAACTCAATATTTCCAGTTGCCGATGACGACGAAGGAGGTACTCGGACGACCGGCAATGAATGACGACCGAGCGATCGTATATCGTATTAGGAAGCACTGCACGACGCTTCCAAAGCTGGCGACTTGGCGCGCATCACGTCCCTCCTCGACGAGGGCGTCGACGTCCACTGCAGACGCCGAGTACGTGCTTGGTATCGTATGGTCGCCATTTTGATGTGCAATGTGTAGCATGGTGTAACGCCTTTGCACCAAGCTGCGTCGTTTGGTCGATTCGACGTCGCTCGCCTCTTGCTCGACCGCGGCGCTGACATGACCGCACGCGACAAGGTCTCTAGTACCTTGCTTGGTCTACGATTTTGAACAATGGGTTGCAGGATGCGGAGACGCCAATGCACAAAGCTGCATATGGTGGCAAACTGAGAGTCGTTGGCCTCTTGCTCGATCGTGGCGCTCTAGCTGACGCGCGTGCCACGGTATGGTACTTGCTTTTTGACGATTCGGATATGGCATATATGGGAATCCAGGACGGTCGGACGCCATTGCACAAAGCTGCGTATGGCGGTGAAGTGGGCGTCGTTCGCCTCTTGCTCGACCGCGGCGCCGACATCAACGCGCGCGACAAGATCACTAGTACGTTGATTTCGTGTGGATAATGACATTTTTTTACGTCGGTTGGAAGGGGCGACACCACTCCACGACGCTGCTTTTGGTGGCGACTTTAACGTTGTCCGCCTCTTGCTCGAACATGGCGCCGACGTGGACGCACGCAATATGGTATTCTCTTTTGTACGAGAGCTAGACATGCGAGCATGCGACTTTGTAGGATGGGAAGACACCATGGATGACAGCGCAAGACGACCAAGAAGACGCAAAATGCGCATATGTGGCGGCAGTAATCGCGGACTATTCGCGCAAGAAAACATATGCCAAGGTCATCCATTAACCTCTCGATACGCTCAGTCAACGTGATGTAGCGGCTGTGGAACGCTGTCCGCGACAACAAGTCGGCAACCATCGAGCGACTCGTTGCCAGAAGCTTCGCGCCGTGCCACGTACGCATCGTCATGTGATACGCACACCACTCTTTGCTCTAGTCGTTGTTGCTGCACAAGGCCTTGACGTACGACGACCCGTGCTTGCTGCAACGCTTGCTGCCCTCACTGGACGTCGAGGCCGTCGATACTGTGCGTCTCTCTTACTAGCGAAGTTGTTGCCATCATGATTTTTTGTAGGAAGGCTACTCGGTCTTGGCGCGCGCGGTTGAGGAGTGCCACATGAGCCTTGTCCAGCAACTGCTGCATATCAACGTCAACGTCCACGCGACAGTACGCTCCCACGTAAAGATGGCATCGGACCCATCACGTCCACAGAACGCGAAACCGGCGCTGCATGTGGCGGCCGCCAAAGGTCACACGACGATGTTGTACATGCTGTTGGCGAATCCAAAGATAAATGTCGA